GCTCATTTTAAATCAATACTTTTACTTTTAATACTTAAGTATAAAAAAATGTCAGATACTTTAAGAATTTTTATTCAAGTAATATTCCTAAAGGAGACTTTAACTTTTACCGAAGTCATTTTTTGGTAAGATATTTGTACTTTTACTTAAATATCACTTTGTGGTACTTTATACAACACTGTTTTTTATGAACAGAAATGAGACATTGCATCTTCTGTTGAGTATAAGGAAATTGAAGCCTCCCAGCATGATGTAAGGTTGGATCAGCTCTTTCAGTAATTTCCTTGGTCACAACCCTTTTCCTTTTAAGTAAACTGCTGGGACATTTTGGTAAAACAAGTCATTGTCTCATAAGCAAAACATCAAGGGTGTCGTCAAAGTAAAACCGTAAAAAAAGGGGAAAAAAAATCCCCCCGAGTGTTTCATCCTGCAGGAAGCATATTGTGTTCACTTTCTCCACAGGGCACGACAGAAACCGGACAAGTTTGTTTTGAGACCGAAACATCTGACCCCAGCAGACACAGACACTTTCAGATAAAGCACTGGTGTCGCTTTTGTTTTGCTTCTCAAAATGAGGTGGACAGGGTGATGCACACACACACACACACACACACACATGCATATTATTTCCTTCACAGGTTTCATTTTTATCCTAAAACAAAGCAAAGTTTCATTATTATCACCTGCTCAAAGGAGGGGAGCAAACTTCAACTCTGTTTTCTGTTTGCAGACTGGCTGACTTTCAGAATGACTTTAAGGAGTGTCTTGGCCCAAAGAACAAAACTGTGCTTGTACCTGGTTGTTGTTGCCCTTTTAAGGGCAGTTTCTAGTACAAAGACYAACTTGTAGGACCAGAAGTCCCTTTGGGAGACAAACAACTGGTCCTAACATGGTAAAACACCATTTTTGAGTTAGGATTAAGGTATAAATGGAAAACAATACTAAAAAGTACAAACATGTGTGTGTTTGTGAAAGTTAAATTCTGGGAACAATCAAGCTGAATTGTCTTTCAGTAAAAAAGTTTTCTGAATCTGAATGTGCTGAATCAACAGCTTTTTAATGGATGAAACAGTTTGTTTTACATTTAAAATGCCAGTTAAAATCTGCATACACTTTAGGAAAAAAAATCACCCTAAGGTCTAAATATCTGATTGTTTAATTTTCCCATCAGAACGTGAATTTGCTCATGTTTCACTCACTGTGAGTCACTAACACCAACTGATTACCAGTGTTAGAAATATTTGGGTGACAGCAGATTAGCTGGAGTTTTAGAAGAAGGTGGTGGATGAGCCACCTTGACTGTAATGCCAATGAGCTTCATGAGAAAAATGTGACTTGACTCAGACTTTAAGTTGGCAAAGTCAGGGAAGTCAGGAATTTCAGTTAATCYGTGTTTTACTTTGCCTGCACTCATTTATGACCAATGTGTTCGTCACTTTTGAGAACACTTAGATTGGCTTTAATGCTAATTAGGAGACAAATAGGCTGTGTCTCAATTCAGGGGCTGGGTCCTCATGAGTGCGCATTTGTCGGCCGCATATGTCATTGTCCCAATTCGAAGGCTCCTCATCATGCGGCCGAGGAATGCGTC